TGCATTTCTCCAGGACCTACTGTGTGCCAGGATTTTCTACTCGAAGAAGCTCTTACTGCTTTGGAAGGTGCAGTATTGATCCAGGAAGGACACTGCCTGTCTGGCTCATCGTTTCTGTGGACCAGCCACCCCGGGGGCTCAGCACCTCCCTCCTCAGTAGTGCAGGACAGGGTCTGAGCCAGGCTGAGTGAGGACAAAACACAGTGACACAGGGGGTGGTGTGAGGGTGGGTGTTGGAACTTGGGAAGAGAGGTGACTGCTCGCTACTGTCCTGGGGTCTGCCCCCAGCCCTCCCATGCCCCCAGCCCCCGTCTGTCTCAGTGAAGTGAAGTGAAGTCGCTCAGTCGTGTCCGACTCCTTGCGACCCCATGGACTGTAGCCCACCAGGCTCCTCAGTCCATGGAATTTTCCAGGCAAGAGTACTGGAGTGGGTTGCCATTTCCTTCTCCAGGCTGTCTCACTGAGGTCCTGCTAAATCACAAAGGCTCACTTCTCCAGAAGCTGTTGTCTCCTAGCTTCTCACTGTTAAAAATAGGTGGAGGGCTGTAGAAATCTGACAACTTGAGATTTTAGAGACAGTTCTAGTCATTTGGCACATACACACTACTATATACAAAATAAATAACTAAATAGGGACCTACTAAAATTGAAGAAAATGGAGAAGACCACTAGACAATTCAGGTATGACCTAAATCAAATCCCTTATGACTATACAGTGGAAATGAGAAATAGATTTAAGGGACTAGATCTGATAGACAGAGTGCCTGATGAACTACGGATGGAGGTTCATGACATTGTACAGGAGACAGGAATCAAGACCATCCCCAAGGAAAAGAAATGCAAAAAAGCAAAATGGCTGCCTGAGGAGGCCTTACAAATAGCTGTGAAAAGACGGGGAGCGAAAAGCAAAGGAGAAAAGGAAAGATACACCCATTTGAATGCAGAGTTCCAAAGAATAGCAAGGAGAGATAAGAAAGCCTTCCTCAGTGATGAATGCAAAGAAATAGAGAAAAACAATAGAATGGGAAAGACTAGAGATCTCTTCAAGAAAATTAGAGATACCAAGGGAACATTTCATGCAAAGATGGGCACAATAAAGGGCAGAAATGGTAGGGACCTGAAAGAAGCAGAAGATATTATGAAGAGGTGGCAAGAATACACAGAAGAACTATACAAAAAAGATCTTCATGACTGAGATAATCATGATGGTGTGATCACTCACCTAGAGTCAGACATCCTGGAATGTGAAGTCAAGTGGGCCTTAGGAAGCATCACTACAAACAAAGGTAGTGGAGGTGATGGAATTCCAGTTGAGCTATTTCAAATCCTGAAAGATGATGCTGTGAAACTGCTGCAGTCAATATGCCAGGAAATTTGGAAAACTCAGCAGTAGCCACAGGACTGGAAAAAGTCAGTTTTCATTCCAATCCCAAAGAATGCTCAAACTACCACACAGTTGCACTCATCTCACATGCTAGTAAAGTAATGCTCAAAATTCTCCAAGCGAGGCTTCAGCAATACGTGAACCGTGAACTTCCAGATGTTCAAGCTGGTTTCAGAAAAGGCAGAGGAACCAGAGATCAAATTGCCAACATCTGTTGGATCATCGGAAAAGAAAGAGAGTTCCAGAAAAATATCTATTTCTGCTTTATTGACTATGCCAAGCCTTTGACTGTGTGAATCTCAATAAACTGTGGAAAATTCTGAAAGAGATGGGTGCTGGGAGCCGGCACACGAGATCCCACCCATGACAAGGTCATGAGAGAGAAAACCTGACAGGCAAGGTGGATCAGGTTTTCAGGGGTTTCGAAAAGGCCAGCTCATGAGATCCCACCCATGACAAGGTCACGAGGAGAAAGCCTGACAGGCAAGGCAGATCAGGTTTTCAGGGGTTTCGAAAAGCTGCCCCTGGCGCTCACCTTAAAGATGATATCTGTCTTTCTGATGCCTGCCTCAATAGACTACTCCCTAATTTCTGTGACACAGGCAGAAGGCCTTCCCCGATCTCTTCCCAAATAAGAATCAATTTAGAACTTTAATCAATAAGTTTCCCAGGTGGTGGTATTTTATGAGATTATCCAGGGTGAAAGGAGTGTTTTAATTTAAACTCCTTTGCTGGTAGTTTGTCAGCCAAATGCGTTTATGCCCTTGGTACTAATATGCATGACTGCTCATAATACCCTAATCATAAAACAGCATAAAGAACCTGATCATATAAAGGCTCTAATAGACATAGAGCCTTTTTGGGGGGTGAAGGAGTCCTATTAGAAAACATAAGAAAAATTATTCTAAAGGTGGTTATTGGGTTAACATTTGCTTGCTGTGTTTTTACTCTTAATGTGCTAAGGTTGTGTTATGGAAACCATTGTTAATATAGTTAAAGATCTAGAAAAATAAAAGCTTAGCCCTAGTGTGGTACCAATGAGATGGTTGTTAATTGTCAGCCAGGAGTGCTAGGTAAAAGCTGCTTCACCAAAGTCGCAGAGTCAATGTGGGATAAACTTCTTAGATAAATGCAACTGACAACTTCTGCAGAAGGATTAATTTTTATGTTAACAAGGTTATACTTCTACTATGTACTGTTGCCCTATGAAACTGCTACCTTTCAGTTAAGGTCACCATAGAAACAGAAAATAGGTTTACATTCACCTGACTTGCATAAATTGTTAATAGGCCCCAAGGCCAGAAGATAATGTACAAGACCCTCATAAACAAAGAAGTATGCAGAAAACACCCTGGTTTCATGAAGGACAAGCTGACGTAATGTTAAACTATCTTCCCCTTAGAAATGTACTAACTATATATAAAAGCCACAGTAAAAAAATAAAGCATTGCCAGACTCTGCTGCACCCCCGTCTGGCCACTCTCTCTCTCGTCATCCTGAGACTTGGCCCTATCAAGGCTGGTCTCACGTGTCTTCTCTCTCTCTCTTGCTGACGCCGTTCATCCCGAGGGTGCCCCCTGGATCCTGCCGAGGCTGGACCCCGGCAGATGGGCATACCGGACCTGACCTGCTTCCTGAGAAACCTGTATACAGGTCAGGAAGCAACAGTCAGAACCAGACATGGAACAACAGACTGGTACCAAATAGGAAAAGGAGTACGTCAAGGCTGTATATTGTCACCCTGCTTATTTAACTTATATGCAGAGTACATCATGAGAAATGTTGGGCTGGATAAAGCACAAGCTGGAATCAAGATTGCCAGGAGAAATATCAATAACCTCAGATATGCAGATGACACCACCCTTATGGCAGAAAGTGAAGAAGAACTAAAGAGCCTCTTGATGAAAGTGAAAGGGGAGAGTGAAAAAGTTGACTTAAAGCTTCACATTCAGAAAACTAAGATCATGGCATCCGGTCCCATCACTTCATGGCAGATAGATGGGGAAACAGTGGAAACAGTAGCTGACTTTATTTTTCTGGGCTCCAAAATCACTGCAGATGGTGACTGCAGCCATGACATTAAAAGACGCTTACTCCTTGGAAAGAAAATTATGACCAACCTAGACAGCATATTAAAAAGCAGAGACATTACTTTTCCAACAAAGGTCCGTCTAGTCAAGGCTATGGTTTTTCCAGTGGTCATGTCTGGATGTGAGAGTTGAACTATAAAGAAAGCTGAGCGCCGAAGAATTGATGCTTTTGAACTGTGGTGTTGGAGAAGACTCTTGAGAGTCTCTTGGACTGCAAGGAGATCCAACCGGTCCATCCTAAAGGACATCAGTCCTGGGTGTTCATTGGAAGGACTGATGTTGAAGCTGAAACTCCAATACTTTGGCCACCTGATGTGAAGAGCTGACTCATTAGAATGCTGGGAAAGAGTGAAGGCAGGAGGAGAAGGGGATGACAGAGGATGAGATGTTTGGATGGCATCACTGACTCAATGACAGGAGTTTGAGCAAGCTCCAGGAGATGGGGAAGGACAGGGATGCCTGGCATGCTGCAGTCCATGTGGTTGCAAAGAGTAGGACACTGAGTTTGGACACAAAGAGTTCAGACACTGAGTGACTGAACAACAACTAGTCATTTGGATAGATATTTGCTCTAAAGACCTGCAATGTCTGTCATAATTAAAGTCAGGTGTTCCCTGGCAGATTCATTTCTGTTAGAAGCAAATTATTTCACAGACTTCAAAAAAATAAGTTGCTTATTTCCAGTGGGTTTGGAGGCATTCAGAGATGTTACTACAAAGTCTTGAGGATCCTCACCACTGGAATCCAAATTCCTTGTTAGGCTGACAAGCAGTATGCAACTGGGGGTGGGGTGGGCTGCCAGAGTCTCTCCCACTCATCAGGAAGGGTGATGTGGCTGGGGTTTCCAGGGTTAACTCAGAGCCTTGGGCCTCACTATGGAGTAACCAAATTCTGCTGGGGGCTTGGGTTCTCAGATGTAGGGGAAATGTATTTTTCACTTTGGGATTATTTGATTCTGGCCTTTTTTTCTTTTCTTTTCTTGCCAAAGTGCTATCATAACTCTGTGAATTGTAGATGATTGATAATGCAAAAATGATTCTTGTCTAGAGACATGCAAATAACTTTTCATGTTATTTGAAAGCTGGAGAGAGAAGCTCCCTCCGCCCCTCACCCCCACCTCAACCCGGGAGAATTTTGGATCCATTTGCAGGTTAATTTCAATGTTGTAATAACCCTCGGGGGCTCCCACCTCACTCCCAGCATTACACCCCCAGCAGCAGCGCTCGCAGAATCCTGGGCGGGGTCGGAGGAGTCACGGTGTTCTTCCCGCTTTCTGCGCCCACCTTGCGGAGATCTTGGCAAGAGGTCCCCGACCGGGCTTGCGGATGTTCGATTTTCGGGGGAGCCGGGCTTGGCGCCCTAGACGGCGGGCGGCGAGGACAGTCCCTAGTGCGCCCTGGGTGGGTAGCGCCGTGGGCCTGGAGTCAGAGGGGCTGTCGACCACCCACCCAGGGCCAGGCAGGCCCTGGGCTGAGGCACCCCTGCCTGTCTGAGTTGGGGGATGAAGCGCTGATAAGAACTGGGGTCTAGTTGCTAGGTGGCGTGAGGCGTCCAGGAGGCGGGGCCTGCAGCACGCAGGGCGCCCAGGTGTTTCCATTCCAGGGCCTCCCGCAGGCGCTTCGATCTCTCGAGATTCTGCCCGATCCGGCTTCCTCCGGAAAGACCCGCGAAGGTAGCGGTGCCTTGGGCAGGACTCTGCCCTCCTCTGAGCCTCCCTCCGACCTCACTGCATTCCAGCCTGAGGTCTCAAGACCCCACTTAATAACCACCAGCAACCCCTCCTTCACCAGGCCCACACTTGGCCCTCGTGTGACCTTCGTGGTGTTCAAACGCCAGAGCATTCCCTGACGGAGGGGCTTGGGTGAAGGGACCCGCTCTCCCCTCGCGGGATGCTGGCTGTTGAGCTGGTTTTTCAACGAGAAAGCAACACGTTGAGGCTATTCTTCAGAGGAAAGACTCCAGGAGTAGGAGTGATATCTCCTGGGAGGAATTCAAGACATCTCACAGCTGCTGGCAGCCACAACTGGCCCCAAGAATGTGGGTGAGTGCCTGGGATTATATTTTTTCCCGCCTATATGTGTGTGTTTGCACGTATTTGTTTCTTTTGCTCCCTAAAACCTACTGCGTGAAGTGCATTAAAATGACCAATCCCTAGCTTTTCTGGATAAGAGCGTTCAGATGGGTAGCCCAAGGTGCCCTAGGGCTAGCTGTAACCTGTGTACTCATTAGTATGCCTTGGGTTCTGAGAGAGGGCCGTCTTCCCCTTGGGACTGGCTTGTGCTATGATGAAGGAGATTGGCAGCAACTGGATGGTGGAAGATGCCAAGGCTGGTAACACCAGGTATTTTTTATCAGGTGGGCTCCCATTGAGTTCTTTTGAATTCCTCTGCCAACGTGACATACCTTATTTTTTTGATTTGAGAATTTTGGGTTGCTGCAGACATTGACATTTCCAGATATAGGCTTTATGCCCCTGGAGCTGATGCTGGTATCCTAGGCTTTGGGCCCTGGGTCTCTGGGCATCCTCGAAGGTGATGGGCTCCTGGTATTCCTGTGTGAAGTGCTTTCCCCTGGCTGAGCATCGCATGATCCTGCCCTTGCACCTCCTTTGGGACAAAGCCTGGCTCCTCCTTTCTGGGACCCTGGGAAGAACCACACTGCAGTGTGGCCCTGATAGGTGGCGTGAGTTAGATTCTGTACTGAAGAGTCTGGGTGGAAGCACCCAAATGTCTTGTCAACTAGTTGTCTGTTGGCATTGTGCGTTACTCAGCTTCTTGCTTTGAGATACTAGATCAAGAGGTCATCTTGTTAACATGATTGTGGCAAAATTGCTTTGACATGGTGTCCTAAGATTGAGCAGAAAAAAGTGGCAATGTGAGGTGAGAGGGTGGTGGATCCTGATTTAATGTGTCACAGCAGCCCACATCTAACACTGAGACTAATTACTCAAGTGGGATCAGGTTTGTAGGCAAATAACAATTACAATAATTATGAATATTATACATATAAATTATATAATTTTAAATTATAAACAGTATCATAAATTATGCATCTGTCTAAAAAGTAAACAAGCATGTAAGCAGTAAAAAGAGAACAATAGAAAAATTATACAACCTGAACAAGAGAGGAAAAGCAGATTAAAAAATAATTTTAAAAACCCTTATGGACCTGTGGATTATATTAATAAAAACAGAGCAAACACTTGTTTAACTGGTGCCTCAGAAGATGAGAAAGAGTGCAGGGTTGAAAAGTTATTCAAAAAAAATTATAGCTGAAAATGTCCCAAATTTGAAAAAAAAGATAGTCTATAGATTCAAGAAACTGAGCAAGTCCCCAGTACGATAAGGCCAAAGAAAGACAAACCAAAACATATCATAATAAAAATTCTTTAAGCTAGAGACAAATAATTCTTTATCAGTTACAGAAAAGTGACCCCATATCCATAAAGGAAAAATAATTCAAATGACAATGGATTTCTCATTAGAAATCAGAGGCCAGAGGAAGTGGTACAACATTTTTCAAGTGCTAGAATTGTCAACCCAAAATTCTATATCCACTGAAAATATCCATTAGACATGAAAGGTAAATTAAGATATTCTCAGATGAAAAAAAAAACTAAGAGACTCTGTTCGCAGTAGAACTACTCTAAAAGATTGGCTAAAGGAAGTTCTTAAAACAGAAGTAAATGATAAAAGGAGGAGTCTTAATACCTACCTTATATCTTATACAAAAATTAACTTTAAAAAATCAAAGAGCTACAATTATGAGACTCTTAGAAGAAAACGTAGGAGTAAATCTGTGTGACCTTTAATTTGGCAAGGGTTTCTTTCCTTTAGTTAGTTTTTTTAAAAAAGGATTTTGTTGGAGTTTAGTGTTGTGTTAGTTTCAGGTGTACTGCAAAGGGATTCAGTTATGCATATACGTATAAATTCTTTTTCGGATTTTCCCCACGTAAGTGAGTATGGTATATTGAACAGAGTTGCTGTACTATACAATAGGTCCTTGTTGATCATCTGTTTATACATAGTAGTGTGTCTATGTCAGCCCCAAGCGCCTGATTGATCCCCCCTCCTCCACATTTCCCATCTGGTAACTGTAGGTTTGGTTTTGATTTTTGTGAATCTGTTTCTGTTTTGTAAATAAGTTCATTTGTATCATTTTTAAAAATTAGACTCCATATATGAGTGGTTTCAGTCATTTGTCTTTCTCTAGCTTCTCTTAGGATGATAATCTCTAGGTGCATCCATGTGGCTGCAAATGACACTGGTTCATTCTTTTTTATGGCTGTGTAATAGTCCATTGTGTATGTATACCACATTTTCTCTATCCGTTCCTCTTTCAATTTCCTATTTCTCTGCCTTTTCATCTTGTTTATATTGCTGTGTTTGGGGTGGCCTTTCTGTATTCTGGCAGTTTGTGGTTCCTCTTTATTGTGGAGGTTCCTCACTGTGGGTGGGGTTGGACGGGTGGCTTGTCAAGGTCTCCTGGTTAGGAAAGCTTGTGTTGGTGTTCTGGTGGGTGGAGCTGGATTTCTTCTCTCTGGAGTGCACTGAAGTGTCCAGTAATGAGTTTTGAGATGTCAGTGGGTTTGGTGTGACTTTGGGCAGCCTCTATATTGAAGCTCAGGGCTATGTTCCTGTGTTGCTGGACAATTTGCATGATATGTCTTGCTCTGGAACTTGTTGGCCCTTGGGTGGTACTTGGTTTCACTGTAGGTATGGAGGCATTTGATGAGCTCCAATTGATTAATGTTCCCTGGGGTCAGGAATTCACTGGTCTCAGCGATTTGGACTTAAGCCTTCTGCCTCTGGTTTTCAGTCTTATTCTTACAGTAGACTCAAGACTTCCCCATCTATACAGCACTGATGATAAAACATCTAGGTTAAAGATGAAAAGTTTCTCCACAGGGAGGGATAGCTGGAGATGTACACAGAGTTACATGGAGAAGAGAAGAGGGAGGAGGATCGAGGTGATCAGGAGGAGAAGAGGGGGAATCAAAAGGGGAGAGAGCAAGCTAGCCAGTAATCACTTCCCTATGTGCTCTCCACAGTCTGGATCCCACAGAGAAGTTCACGGAGTTACACAGAAAAGAGAAGAGGGAGGAAGGAGACAGAGGTGGCCAGGAGGATAAAGGGGGGAATCAAAAGGAGAGAGACAGATCCAGCCAGTAATCAGTTCCCTAAGTGTTTTCCACAGCCCGAAACACACACAGAAATTCACAGAGTTGGGTAGAGAAGAGAAGGGGGAGGGAGGAGATAGAGGCGACCTGGTGGAGAAAAGGGAGAGTCCAAAGGGGGAGAGAACAATCCAGCCAGTAATCTCGCTTCCAAGTAAAAATGGGTACTGAAGATTGGGTTCTTAAAGGTAAAAAATTAATAACAAATACCAAAAAGCAAAGACTAAAAATTTAGAGTAGAGGTTGGATTCTCAAAATAACAATATTAAAGAAAAAAAGTCACAAAAATTATAAAATATGAAGTTTGCTTTAAACAATAGGGTCCTTTTTTTGCAAAGTAATAGTAGGTTATAAAAATGAAAATTGAAGGAGCAATAGAGGACTTAAAAATTAAAAAATTTTAATTAAAAAAATGATAATAGTAAAAATATATCTAGGACTTTCTCTGGTGGTGTTGTGGACAGTGTGGGGTCAGTTCATTTTCAGATAGTTCCTTGATCTGGCTTGCACTTCCCCTTCCTATGTCGTGGGTGCTAGCTACAGGGTTTTAATCTATTGCACCTGTCACTTCCAAGGCGGTTCCCTCTGTTCTAGCTTCTGTTTGCTGGCCTCTTCAGTGTCTAATTTCCGCCCTGCCACAAGGGGGCGGTGGCGGTCACTTTTTTAGGCTCACTTGTTCAGCCGTGCTGTGGGAGCGGGGAACGCCTCAAACATCGCTGGCGTGTGTGGGGAGCGCTCGCAGTGTCTCGGCCACCCTGGGTTTGCCCCGCTCCCGGCCTGTGTGCTTTCCCCGTCTACACTGCTCAGGCTGCTCTGCCGGGAGCCGTCTGAGGCGGGCCCTGGGTGGTATGCACTCCCCAGGTCTAAGCCGCGCAGGCTCAGGCTCTCGGGTTCTCCACAGAGGCGCAGACTCGGGCCTGCATTTTGCGCCCGTCCCGGGTCCGAGCAGCTCGGGTGACCGGGTGCTTGGTGGGCGCGGTCGCCCCCAGGTGGGGGCTGCGTCTTATCGCCTCCCCGTCCCCGCCGCTGGTTTGTCTGGGTGTACAACCGGCGCGCCTTCTCCGGTGTGCCGAGTGTCTCTTCTCGGGAGCTGGTCTCTGGCCGCGACCCTCCCGGCGGATGTCCGCTGTCCAGACCCCAAGGAGTGTTGGTTAGCAATGGAGTCTGCCTGCAGTTTGGTATCGGATGCCTCTCTGGGGCCACGATTGCCCCCTCCCGGCTCTGGCTGCCCTGGCCGGCCTGCCTGCCTGTCTCCGGCGGGGGATGGGCCGGTCCGCAGCGGGCTAGCTCCGCTCAGTCCTTTGTTCTGTGAGCCGGCCCGGCGGTGTCTCAGGTGAGGGCTTTTCGTGGGATAAGTTAGTTCCCTCAGGTTGCCCTTGGGGCATTCAGGCCCGGTCCTTACCCTAAGCGATGCAGCCCGCCGTCCCGGGCCGGCCCCTGCTTCTGTGGCGGATGCGAGCGTCTGCACTGCTTCTCTGCTGGGAGTCGCGCTTAGGCGCCTAACCTGTGGGGTTCATTATTTATTTATTTTTCCTCCCGGTTATGTCGCCCTCTGAGTTTCCAAGGCTCGCCACAGACTTGCCAGTGAGAGTGTTTCCTGGTGTTTGGAAGCTTCTCTCTTTTTAAAGACTCACTTCCTGGGACAGATCTCCGTCCCTACCTCTTTTGTCTCTCTTTATCTTTATATTTTTTTTCTACCTCCTTTTGAAGACAATGGGCTGCCTTTCTGGGTGCCTGATGTCCTCTGCCAGCATTCAGAAGCTGTTCTGTGGAATTTACTCAGCGTTCAAATGTTCTTTTGATGAATTTGTGCGGGAGAAAGTGGTCTCCCTGTCCTATTCCTCCACCATTTTAGGACCGCCCCCTCAAATGCTTTTTAGTAATCTGTATTTGTACCCTCCTCCTCTCATGATTGCTTGTTTTGACGCTATATTTGTGTGTGGATGCTTTCCTACCACATTCACTTTATGTTTATCTTTACTGGTGATCTTTCCCATTCACAGTTTTCCTATTTCTAGTTGTGGCCTTATTTTCCCACCTAAAGAAGTTTCTTTAGCATTTGTTGTAAGGCTGGTTTGGTGGTACTGAATTCTCCTGGCTTTTGCTTGTTTGTAAGACTTTTGACTTCTCTGTCAAATCTAAATGAGAGCTGTGCTGGGTAGGGTATTCTTGGTTGTAGGTTTTCCCCTTTCATCACTTTAAATATGTTTTGCCACTCCTTTCTGGCCTACAGAGTTTCTGATGAGAAGTCAGCTGGTAACCTTATGGGGATCCCCCTGTATGTTATTTGTTGCTTTTTCCTTGTTGCTTTTAATATTTTTTCTTTGTCTTTAATTTTTGTCAATTTGATTAACATGTGTCTCATTGCACTCCTTTGGTTTATCTTGTATGGGACTCTGGGCTTCTTGAACTTGAGTCAGTGTTTCCCTTCTCATGTTAGAGAAGTTTCCAGCTATAATCTCTTCAAATATTTTCCCAGGCTGTTTCTCTTCTCCTTCTGGAACCTCTATAATGTGAATGTTGGTGTGTTCTATGTTGTCCCAGAGGTCTCTGAGACATTTCTTTTCATTCTTTTTTCTTTATTTTGTTCCACAGCAGAGATTTCCATCACTCTGTCTTCCAGCTCACTTATTGGTTCTTCTGCCTCATGTATCCTGTTATTTATTTCTTTCTAGTGTATTTTTCATTTCAGTTATTGTTCTTTTCTGTAAGTGTGTTAGTTCTTCTAGGTCTTTATTAAGGTTAGTTATTCTAGGTCTTTATTATTTCTTGTCTCTTCTCTGTGCCTCCATTCTTTTCCTGAGATCTTGGGTCATCTTTACCATTACTACTTTAAATCATCTTCAGTTAAGTTCCCTATCTCCATTTCACTTAGTTGTTCTTGTGGATTTTTATCTTGTTCTTTCATCTGGATCATATTTCTCTGCCATCTCATTTTCCCTTTCTCTGTGGTCTCCTTTTCACAGGCTGTAGGATCAAAGCTTCTCTTGCTCTTGGTGTCTGCCTCCTGGTGGGTGAGGTTGGTACTGGAGATTGTGAGGTTTCTGGTAGGCAGGACTGGTCCCTGCCCACTGGTGGGTGGAGCTGGGTCTTGTTCCTCCTGTGGGCAGGGCTGTGTCAAGGAGTGCCTTTAGAGATAGCTAGGTGCTCAAGAAGCCTGTTTATGATGGGTGGGGCTGTGTTTCCTATCTTGCTTGTTGTTTGGTCTGAAGCATTCTAGCACTGGAGCTGCTAGGCTATTGACTAGAGCCAGGTTTTGATGCCGAAATGGCAATCTCACACCAATCAATAGTCTCTGTGGCCTCTGCCACCAGTGTCCTTGGCTCCCCCCTACCAGTAAGCCAGAGCTGACCCCTGCCTCCGTAGGAGACCCTCCAAGACTCGCAGGTAGGTCAGCCCAGGATCCTGTGGAATTACTGATTTGTGTGGGGGCCCAGCATACATGAAACCTTGTGTGTACCCCCAAGAGAGGAGTTTCTGTTTCCCCCAGTCAAAACCCACTGGCCTTCAAAGCCAAGTGTTCTAGAGATTCCTCTTTCCTATGCCAGTCCCTCTGCCAGGCTCCCTGTGGAGCATGATGTGTGGGGCTCAGGACTCTTACTCTTTTGGCGAACCTCTGTGATATAATTATTCTCCAGTTTGTGGGTCACCCACCCAGTGGGTATGGGATTTGATTAGGTCACAAAAGCACCCCTCCTACCATTTCGTTGTGGCTTCTTCTTTATCCTTTGAAAATCTTTTTTGGTAGGTTCCAGTCTTTGTTCAGTCGTTAGTTGTGATTTTGGTGTTCTCCTGAGAGGAGGTGAGCTCAAGTCCTCCTACTGCACCATCTTGTCTGGAATCAAGGGGCTGCTTTTAGTTTGGGTGCTTACTGCCTCTTCCCTCAGTGTGTGCTGGCTGTTATTCCCTTCATCTGGGGTGCCCTCAGGACAGCAGGCGTAGCCCTTGGCACCTCCTTGCAGGCCTCGTATAGGCAGCTGTGGCTCACATACTCCCAGGACAGCGGAGGCAGCACTTGGGGCCTGCTCGTGGGTCTCGCAGCAGTGCGGGTGGCCCGGGCCAGCCTCTGGATCCTGCAAGGGCGGTGGCGACTCGCGCCTGCCCCCAGAGCTCCTGTAGGCAGCGTCTTGTTGCTTGGGAGCACTTATGGGGGAAGAAGCTCTTATGGTGGTCCCACCCCTCTCCTCATGCACTGCCCCCCAAAATGGCACCTTGCCTCTCTGGCAGGCCCAGACCTCCTCCGAGTACACCTGCAGTTGTGACCGTCCAGCCTCTTCAGGCTGTCTCCGGTTCTCTCCCTCGTTCTGACCTCTGAAACCTGAGCTTCAGCTCCCAGCTCCCAGCTGCACCAAAAAGACGAGCATCTCAGTCTGGGGAGTGCAGGCCAGTGCCAACTGCCCAGGCTAGTGCCAACGTTGTGTGCTGGTTGCTCTCCATGAACCAGTTGCTACGCTTCCCTCCTAGGCCCTGATGTTCCCTTCCATCCAGGTTGATCTCCCCACTGGAGAGGGGACTTCCCAGGGTGTGGGAACCTTCCCTCCTTCACTGCTCTCTCCCTGGCTGCAGGCCCTGTCCTGGTTCCTTTCTTTTTCTTTTTCCTTTTGTCCTACCCAGTTATCTGGATGTTTTCTTACCTTTTTGGAAGTCTGAAGTCTTCTGCCAGCATTCAGCAGATGTTCTGTATGAATTGTTCCACTTGTAGACGTATTTTTCATGTTTTTGTAGGGGAGGTGAGCTCCACCTTCTACACGTATTTTTCATGTTTTTGTGGGGGAGGTGAGCTCCACCTTCTACTCTTCTGACATCTTGATCCCTTCACTCAGCAGTGGTTTCTTAAACATGACACTAAAAGCATAAACACCAGAGAAAAATAGACACATTAGATTTTATCAAAGCTTTAAACATTTGTACTTCAAAAGATACTATCAAGAAAGTGAAAAATAACCCATATAATGGGAAAAGATTTTCAAATTATACAGCTGATAAGGGACTTGTGTTTATAATATAAAGAACTCTTCCAATTTAGTCATTAAAAAAAACTGTTAAAAATGGACAAAAAATCTGAATAAACATTTCTCTGAAGAGGATATACAATGGGCCAATAATCAGCTATAAAGAGTGTCAACATCATTAGTCATCAGAGAAATGCAAAGTAAAATCACCATGAAATAGCACTTCACACTCACTAGGATGGCTGTTATTAAAAAAAGGCAGATAATAGCAATTGTTGATGGTGTCAAGAAACTGAAAATCTCATACATTGCTGGTGGCAATGTAAAATGGTGCAACTGCTTTGAAAAATGGTTGGCAGGCACTCAAAAAAATAAACAGAATTATTGTATGACCCAGCAATTTCACTTCTAGAAAAATGTTCCACAAAATTTTGTACATAAATATTCATATCTGCATTATTCATAATAATCAAAAGTGGAAACAACCCAAATGTCTGTTAACTCATGAATGGGTAAATCAAATGTAGTATATCCACACAATAAAATATTATTTGGCAATAGAAAGGACTTGAAGTACTGATACATGTTACAGCATGGATGAATCTTGAAACTGTAAGCGAAATGAAAGAAGTCAATCAGAAAACACTGTATAAGATTCCATTTATATAATATCTTCAGAATAGGCAAATCTGTAGAGAGTAAAAGTAGATTAGTGGTTGCTTAGGACTTGAGTGATAGCTAAAGAACTTGGGATTTCTTTCTGAAGTGATAAAAATATTCTACAATTGTGATGATGGTTGCACAAGTTTGTTAATATATTAAAAACTAGTGAATTGTATACTTGCAATGAGTAAATTGTATTATGTGAATTACGTTTCAATAAAGCTGTTAGCAAAAGAATAAAAGTGTCTTGGAACACCAGTAAGGAAGAAAGAAAAACAGAAAGAGTAAAACTATGGGTAAATACAATAGATGTACCTCTTCCTCTTTAGTTTTCTAAATTATGTTTGGTGGTTAAAGCAAAAATTATTACATTTTCTGATGTGGTTCTCAGTATATTTAGAGAAAATAGCTATGACAATCAGAATGTAAATGGGGGACAGTAAAAGGGATCGAAGGAAGGTAAAGTTTTTTTTGGTAAGTAAATCACGTGAATTTCTCAATGTTCCTATAAAGGTCTTGGACTCCAGAGACTCAGAAATTAATATTCAGTAAACAGAGAGAAGGTTTGTTCTCACGTCCCTCAGAAACTAGCTCTAAAGGCATCCGTTTCCTTAATAGTAGAGCTAATTGCTTCCATCCAACAGCCTCCTTTTATCCCCCCAGGAACAAAAAAGTTACATTTCAGGATAAATATCTAGGTTTGAGCATTGTTTTTTCAGGTAATAGCTTTCGAAATTTCAAAAGGGATGAAACCCAGGACACACAGACATTTGTAAATTGTAAAAGTTGAGAACTGGGCTTATTTGGATCCTTGAGATATTTACTTCAAAGTGTTAGAGTAAGACATTTCCGAGGAGACTCTCTTAGAAAGGGAGAGAGATAGCTGCTCTTTCTGCATGTTAAATGGCCAAAATTCAATCCTCTGTGTATCTCACTTATAATGTAGACTGTGCATGTGTCTTTGTATTTGAACTGGCTCTCATCGTATTGACCTGACTCTCATTACGGGAGAAGCACATGCTTGTTATTTTCTGTAAGGTCACTAATAGGAAATCTAATCCTGATCTAAAAATCTCATGTGTACATTCAGGACACAATTAAAGAGGATGAGTGTTAAAAATATAATGCTTCACTTGAACTGAAAAAATGTTGACCTCAGTAGACTGATGTTATATACATATAAATAGTACAGTATCTTGAGCAAACTGCTTAAAAAATACTATACAAAGAAGTGCATTAAAAAGCTATAAGAAATTAAAAACTCTAGAAAAGCAGAGACATTACTTTGCTGACAAAGGTCCATCTAGTCAAAGCTATGGTTTTTCCAGTAGTCATGTATGGATGTGAAAGTTGGACCATAAAGCTGAGCACCAAAGAATTGATGATTTTGAACTGTGGTGTTGGAGAAGACTCTTGAGAGTCCCTTGGACTGCAAGGAGATCCAACCAGTCCATCCTAAAGGAGATCAGTCCTGGGTGTTCATTGGAAGGACTGATGGCTGAAGCTCCAGTACTTTGGCCATCTGATGTAAAGAACTGACTCACTGTAAAAGACTCTGATGCTGGGAAAGATTTAGGGCAAGAGGAAAAGGGGATGACAGAGGATGAGATGGTTGAGAAGGGCATCATCGACTCAGTGGACATGAGTTTGAGCAAACTCCAGGAGATAGTGAAGGACAGGGAAGCCTGGCATGCTTCAGTCCATGGGGTCACAAAGAGTTGGACAGGACTGAGTGACTGAACTGAACTGAAGTACCAGTGGAAGTTTAAGACCTGCAGGACGGAATTCTGGTTTCCAGTTTCACATGCAAGGAGCTTGGAAGTCACCATCCATTCTAACAATGTATAAAAAGCTGAACGGACTGGAAAATCAACACTTCTTCTTGGATCCATAGAAGGAGGAGGACAGGGCAAACCCCTGCCCCAAGATTGAAGAGTCAGGCGCATACAGGAAGTTGCAGTTTACCCCTGCTTACCAGAAGAGTAGACTCATGAGCAGAATTCACTGCAGAAACTGGTGACAGGATAGGAAAATCTGAACTGTGATTGCTGGAGGCTCAGGGTGGACAAATCTGAGAGTTAAAAAACTTCAGGGCACCCAGGCACAGAGGGACCTCCACAATACTGTGAGACTTACCCTCAGGAGCTCAATCAGATCCCCACAGTAAATATCAGAGAAAAATTACCTCAGGGCATCTGGCACAAGGGGAAAAGAAACCATTTTGAAATATGCCAAGAAATCTGTTCTTCCTAACAAGACCTGCCCTCAGGGGAAACTAACAAGTTATTTTATGGAATATCAACAAGCTCATTATGAAGTTCATATGGAGAGACAATAGACTAAGAACAGCCAGCACAAAACTGAAGGAGAAAAATAGTATCAGGGGACTGATTCCACCCGACTTCAAGACTTATTGTATAGCTACAGTAATTAAGACAGCGGGATATTGGTGCAAGACAGACAGATAGATCAATAGAATAGAATCAAAATTAGAACCCCAGAAGTATGGTCAACTAATCTTTGACAAAGAAGCAAAAGCAATGCAATGGAACAAAGATAGTCTCTTTGATAGTTGATGCTAGAACAACCAGTTATCTACATACAAAATAAAATGAACCTGGACCCAGTCCTTACACCCGTCACATAAGTTAACTTAAAATAGATCATAGATCTGTTCTATTTTGTAATTTTGCTTGTTTATTTTTGGCCGTGCTGGGTCTTCACTGCTGTGTGGGTTCTTCTCTAGTTGTGGCGAGTGGGGTTGCTCTCTAGTTGCGGTGCACGGGCTTCTCATTGCTGTGGCTTCTCCTGTTATGGAGCTTGAGCTCTAGGGTGCATGGTCTTTGGTAACTACAGCACATCGGCTCAGTAGTTGCAACTCTCGGGCTCTAGAACATAGGGTTCAATAGTTTTGGCCCATAGGCTTAGTTGCTCTGTGGCATGTGGGATCCTCCTGGATCAGGGATTGAACCTGTGTCTCCTTCATTGGCAAGCAGATTCTTTACCACTGAGCCACCAGGAAAGCCCTGGGTCATAGATCTAAATGTAAAATGCAAAACTGTAAACCTCCTAGAAAATAGCATGGAAGAAAACCTATGTTATTTGGATAGGTTTATAGACTTTGGATATTGTGGTGCCTTTTTTAGATAGAACAACAAAGACACGATCCATGAAAACAGTGATAAGTTGGACTTCATTTAAGTTGGAAACTCCTACTGTGTGAAAGATAGTATCAAGAAAATGGAAAGACAAGACATAGACTGGGAGAATATATTTGCAAAAGACACATCTAGTAAAGGACTATTATCTAAAATATAAAAAGAGGATTTCCCTGGTTGTCCCGTGGTTAAGACTTTGCCTTCCAAGAGGTGTGGTTTCAATCCCTGGTTGGGGAGCTGGGATCCCACATGCCTCAGCTTAAAAACCAGAACATAAACAATATAGGCAATATTGTAACAAATTCAATAAAGACTTTAAAAAATATCTTAAAAACATACAAAGAACTCTTAAACTATGCAGATAGCACACACACAAAGAAAACCTGTAGATCAATATCCCTCATGGATAAAAGTTCCAAAAACTTTTAACAAGACATTAGCCAACAGAATTCACCAATCTCTAAAACAATTCTATACCATGACTAAATGGGATTTATTCCAGTGATGGAGTGCTAATTAAATATTTGAAAACAGTGTAATACACCATTATGTTTGTTTCTCATTGATGTCATAACAACACAAACTAGTGGTTTAAAAGCACAGATTTGTTGTCTTACAGTCCTAGAGGTCAGAAGTCCAGAAATGGGTTTTACTGGCTTAAAAATCAAGGTATCGGTAGAGCTATTTTCCTTTCTGGAGATTTGCAGGAATAATTTTTTTTCACCGCTCCTAGCTTCTAGGGGCTGCTGGCATTCTTGGCCCATGGCTCCCTTCCATCTTCAAAGCCAGCAATGTCCAGTTGAGACTTTCTTACATCACTCTAACACAGACTGCTGCCTCCCTCCTTTGCATTGAAGGAGTCTTGTGATTGCAGTGGGACCACCCAGATAATCCAAGATTATTTCCCCATCTCAAGATGAGCTGATGAGCACCCTTGTATCCACCTCAAACTTAATTCTCCTTGGTGAAGTAAGTGAATGTAGCCACAGGTTCCAGGGATTAGGACATGGTCATCTTTGGCAGTCATCTTCTTGCCTGCCTGTAATTAGCCCTCTCATTGCCTGCTTTTGGGGCCTGTCTTGGGCTTTTTCCTTCACCTAAGTATTCCCTGTCCACACTGCCCTGCTAATCAGCCCGCTGACCTTGTTTCTCTCCCAGGGCCTCTCTCACTGCCCGCTTGCCCCATGGCTTGCTCTTTTGTACCTTTCAGGCTTTGGTCAAATACTCCTTTTTGAGCTCAGCTGACCACCTGCTGTTGGATGGCTCCTTTTGCCCTGTCACTTTGTCACCTCTTTCAGTTTTCTTCAAGGCACATTCTTTATTTTGTTTCACTTAATTTTTATCTGTCTCCCACCTTCCCTTCTCTTGTGAATTCTGTGAAGATGGGGAGTTTGCATTGAGTCCCTGAATGGTGTGGGACGTAGATGAAACTCTCAGTGTATATTTGTTGAATTAACAAATGACGATCATCTGCAAATCATGAGAACAAATTGCTGTTCTTGATGACATTCTTGCCTCCTTTCTGTTTCATGTCCTAATGTATTGCCAGGACTTCCGGAACACTGTTAAGTGGTAATGGTGATAGCAGGCATCCTTCTTTTGTTTGATTTAAATAACAAAGTCTCTAGGGTTTTATCGTTAAATATAAATTTGGCCTTTGGTTTGGAAACATTTAAGTTAAAGTACAAGAGTACTTCAAACCAAACATGTTAAACACTTGTTTTGCAACAAGTGTTTGGCTTACTAGTAACATTTTATCAGCCATCCACTGTCCAATACATTCATAGCTTTTCTCTCAAACCTTAGTTAAATTTTGAGACAATCCCAACTAAGTTGAAATGGATGCTTCTTTTAATATAATGGTGAATTCTTTCTGTTTATCTTCTCTCTAGGAGTTTTGAATCTGCAATCATGAGGGAGATTGGCTGAGAATTTTCTTTTCTCTCTTTTGGTTGCCTGTTTCAAGTCCAGCTCTTTGTCCCTAAAGCTGCCTGTGGCCTGTAGATCAGTCTTTTATGGAAGCCACACCCTCAGGGTGCAGGATAGAGCCAGGTGGGCTGGGCCAAGTAGAAGTGCTAAAGAGTAAATACTGACTTGTTTCTTCTCACTTTTTGCAGTTTTATTTTTATTTAATTAATATTGACTTGGCTGTGCTGGGTCTTAGTTGCAGCATACAAACTCTTAGTTGGAGCGTGTGGGGTCTAGTTCCCTGGCCAGGGATCAAACCCAGGGATCCTGCATTAGGAGCTTGGAGTCTTAGCCACTGGACCACCAAGAATGTCCCACTTTCTGTAGTTTTAAATGTTTCTTTGCTAGAGTCAAATCAAGTCAGGTATTGGTTAAGGAGGACCAGATTTCCATTCTTCTGGACTGGATCCTCTTCCAGCTGCCCTGTGCACTGGGTCCTTGGTCTGGTCTGGCACATAGCTGGGTGCAGCTGCCCCCACCACAGGCTTCAGTCCCAGCAGAAGCAAATAATGAGCGCAGTAGAAGGGAAAAATCATTTGTTAATGCCATCTATGTCAAATTGCCTTAATTCCCCAGTGAGGCAGGCAGTTCAGATATGACAAGACAGGCCCACAGAGATGAAAGGCCTTGCTAAAGGTCCCTCAGCTGATAAATGGCCCACTTTGAACTTTTTAAAATTAATTAATTTATTTTAATTGGAGGCTAATTACAATATTGTAGTGGCCCACTTTGAATTTGAACCTATGATTGCTATGCTGGCTTAGTTGCTCAGTCGTGTCTGACTCTTTGTGACCCTGTTGACTGTAGCCCACCAGGCTCCTCTGTTCATGGGATTCTCCAGGCAAGAATACTAGAGTGGGTTGCTGTGCCCTCCTGCAGGGCATCTTCCCAACCCAGGGGTTGAACCCAGGTCTCCCACATTGCAGGCAGCTTTTTACCATCTGAGCCACCAGGGAAGCCCATGAATACTGGAGTGGGTAGCCTATCCCTTCTCCAGGGGATCTTCCTCACCCAGGAATTGAACCAGGGTCTCGTGCATCGCAGGCAGATTCTTTTCCAGCTGAGCTACCAGGGAAGCCTAAACCTATGGTTATTCTGACCTCAAAGCCTGTACTCTATCCACAAGGCCACTGCCTCCTTTCACAACTGACCCTCTCACGTTGGCCTTGCAGATGTTGTGAAGAGACTGTGTCCCTCGCCTTCTCCGCTCTTCCGATGGCATATGCAGTACAATATTGCCTGCTGTCTTGAAATCTGGCAAAGGCCCAAAGCTGAGGACAGAAAGTGAAGATTCTTTCTGGTCCATGAGGCAGGAGCTGAGACCGTCGGGCTTGCAGGGTCGCGTTTCTGTGTGTGACCCAGCCCTTCTTCCTTGCGACCTTCAGTAGCTCAACTCCAGTCTCTGAGGGCAGGAAGGGCATGACTTTTGAGGGACGTCAGTCTCTCCCTCTCCTGAGTGTGTCCCTCTTGGGTAGAATTGGGGTGCTTGCCTGCAGGGGAGCAGGGCGGTAGCCCAGCACCCTGGGCTCATCTGCTTAGGTGGGGCTTTGCTGGGGTTCCCTCTGCCACCTGAATAACAGAGAGAGTGTATGGTGAGTGCTGCCTGGGGAGAGCCACCCGGGGGGTCCCTGGTTCCTAAGAGTGAAGAAGCAAGATGGCAAAGGAACCAACCTACCACCCGGGAGTTGGCTTCGGAGGGCCGTTCCCACCCCACCCTCTGCTCTCGGGTGTAGTCATCATTACTGTTGCTCTTGGCTCCCTGTTGCAGGTCTGAATGTCCACCTGCTGCCGTTTCCTTTTCAGTATGAAGATCTTCTTTCAGCATTTCTTTAGTGCAGGACTCTTGGCCGCAGAGGCGCTCAGGTTTCATTTACTTGAAAATGTCTTTATTTCCCCTTCGACTTTTGGCTTACTTACTTTTTAAAGTAAACAATTCAATGGTTTTAGCATCTTCACAGTGTTGTGTATACCACATCCACCATCGGATTTCAGAATATTTTTATAATCTCAAAAAGAAACCCATAGTCATTCCTTATTTCCTCTTCCCCAAGGTGCTGCCAGCTTATTTTCTGTCTCTATGGGTTCCTAATCTGAACACTTCACATAAAGTATGTGTTCTGTTGTGTCTGGCTTCTTTCATGCTGCTTATTTTCAAGGCGCATCTATGTTGTAGCATGCCTTAGGAAGTATTTCATTCCCTTTTTAAAAAGACATCTTTTTTAAGAGCAGTATTTTAGGTTCACAGTAGAATTGAGGTGGGGTACAGATATTTCCCATATACCCACCTTCCCCTATGCATGCAGAGCCTCCAACATCACTCACTAGAGTGATACACTTGTTACCAAGGGTGACCCTACATTGACAAACCATAATCACTCAAAATCCATAGTTTACCTTAAGGTTCAGTCTTAGTGGTGTATATTCTGTGAGTTTGGACGAATGCATAATGACATTTATTCATCATTATAATATCATAGAGAGTATTTTCACTGCCCTTAGAGGTAGTACTCTGCTCTGCCTGACCCTCTCCCTATCAACCACTACTATTTTTATCGTCCCCATAGTTTTGATTTTCCAGGATGTCATTGTATTTGGAATCCTACATTAGGTAGCTTTTTCAGATTGGCTTTTTTTCACCTAGTAATATGCATTTAAGTTTCCACTATGTGTTTTTTCTTTAAGGGCTGAGTAGCATTCCATTGTTTGAACATACCAGAGTTTATTCATTCACTTTGCTTGCTTCCAAGTTTTGACAATTGTGAATAGAGCTATTGTAAACATCCTTTTGGGGGGTTTTATGTGGACAAAAGTTTTTAAATCCTTTGGGTAAATACCAAGGAGAATGTTTGCTGGATGGTGTGTTAACAGTATGTTGAGTTTTATAAGAAACTGCCAGACTGTCTTCCAAGTGGCTGTACCATTTTTATCGCTCAGTGTATGAGAGTTCCTGTTATTCTGTATACTCCCAGCATTTGGTGCATTCGTTTGTGTGTGTGGGGGACAAAACACATAAAGTTTACCATTTTCACCGTTTTAACTACACTTTAGTGTTAAGTATGTTCACATTGCTGTGAAAATCCCCATTAAACAGCAACTCCCTTTTCTCTCTTTCCTCCAGCCCCTGGTAACCACGAATCTGCTTTCTATTGCAGTGAATTTGACTCCTTTAGATATCTCTAAGTGGAAACACATAATATTTGTCTTTTTGTGACTGGCATATTTCACTTAGCATAATGTACTCAAGATTCATCCTTGTCAGGATTTCCTTCTGTTTTGAGGCTGAGTAATAATCCACTGTGTGATTATGTCTACATCTCTGTCTATCTCACATTTTATTTATCCATTCACATTTGTGTTGTTTCTATCTCTTGGCTATTGCTAATAGTGCTTATATAAGCATGGGTGTGCAAATGTCTTTCTGAGACTCTGCTTTCTTTTAGATATATACCCATAAATGAAACAGCTCTATCACATGGTAGTTCTATTTTTATTTTTGAGAAACCTCCATACTGTTTTACGTAAATGTCACACAATTTTTCAGTCCCACCAGCAGTACACAAGTTCAACTTCTTCACATCCCTGCCAACACTTGTTATTTTCTGTCTTGTTCATATTACCCATAGTAATGGGTGTGAAGTGATATCTAATGTGGTTTTAATTTGCATTTTCTGATGATTAGTGATGTTGAGCATCTTTTCATATGCCTGTTGGCCATTTGTATATCCTCTTTGGAGAAATATCTCTTAAAATTTGTGCCCATGTTTTAGTTAGGCTATTTTATTTTTGATTGATTTGTAGGAGTTCTTTATATATTTTGGATATTAACCCCCCCTTTTCAGATAATGTGCTTTTTACAGATGTTTTCTCCCCTTCCAGAGTTGGCCTTTCATTCTGCTGATTTTGTCCTTTGACACACAGATATTTTAAAGTTTGATGTAGCCTTATTCATCTATGTCTTCATTGTTGTTGTAGTTTGTTCTTTTGACGCCATATCCAAGAAACCATTGCCATGTTCAAAGTCATACAGTTTTTCCTGTTTGTTTTTTTCTAAGAGTTTTAGGTCTAAGTGCTCCAGCTAAGCTTTCCAATACTATGTTGGGGAAAAAAAAAGTGGTAAGAGCAGATATCTTTGCCTGTTCCTGATCTCACGGGAAAAACTGTCAAGTCTTTCACCCTTGAGTGTAATGACAACTATGGGCTTTTCGTATATGGTCTTACACTGCAGTAAATTCTAGTTGTGGCGCACGAACCTCTCATCGCGGCGGCTTCTCTTGTTCAGAGTGAACCTGAAGCACGCGGGCTTCAGTTGTTGTGACACACAGGCTCGGTAGTTTGGTGCATGGGCTTAGTTGCTCCGCTGGATGTGGAATCTAGAATCTTCTTGGACCAGGGATCAAACCTGTGCATTGGCAGGTGGATTCTTAACCACTGGATCACCAGGGAAGTCCCTCTCTTTCATTTCTAATATTAGTTATTTGAGTCTTCTCTTCTTTCTTAATTAATCTCGCTAAGAATTTGTTAATTTCATTGCCCTTTACAAAATCCAGTTCTGTTTCATTGATTGTTTTCTATTTTTCCGTTCTCTAGTTTATCTCTGCTCCAATTGTTATTATTTTCTTCCTTTTACTCTCTTTGGATTTTTATAGGTTGAGTCATTTTAGGATTCCAGGAATAAATCCCACTTAGTCATGGTGTATAATCCTTTTAAAGTTCTATTGAATTATGTTTGCTAGTATTTTGCTAAGAATTTTTGCATCAGTATTCATCCGGCATATTGGTCTATAGTTTTACTTTCTTGTAGTATCTTTATCTGGCTTTGGTATCAGAGTAATGTTAGCCTCATAGAATGAACTTAGAAGTGTACGCTCCTCCTAAGTGTTTGGGAAACGTTTCAGGAGAACTGGTAGAAGTAATAACTTCTTTAAATGTTTGGTAGAAGTCACCAGTGAATCTAGATGGTCCTGGGCTTTTCTTCTGGGGGGGCTTTTGATTACCTCTTCAATCCTTTTACTCACTATTGGTTTGTTAAGATTTTCTCTTTCTTCATGATTCAGTCTTGTCAAGTGACATGTTTCTAGGAGTTTATTTTTTTCTTCTAGGTTACCTAATTAGGTGTACAATTGTTCATAGTAGTCTCTTAAAATCCTTTTCCCCTGTAATTGTAATGCCCTCTTTTTCATTTCTTTTATGTATTTATTTATTTTTGGCTGCACTGGGTCTTCATTGCTGTGCATGGGCTTTCTGTAGTTGCAGAGCACTTCTCTCTGTTTCTCCCTTCAATTCTATCAAGGTTTGCTTCATCTATTTAGGAGTTTGGAAGTTTGGTACATAAATATTTATATCTGATAAATCTTCTTGGTGAACTCACTCTTTTTTGAGTGTTCAAAATCCTTCCTTGTCTTTTGTAGCAGTTTTTAGAATTTTATTTATTTTTAATTGAAGGATAATTGCTTTACAGTATTGTGTTGGTTTCTTCCAAGCATTGACATGAATCATTTCAGTTCAGTTGCTCAGTCGTGTCCGACGCCAGGCCTCCCTATCCATCACCAACTCCCAGAGTCCACCCAAACCCATATCCATTGAGTCGGTGATGCCATCCTACCATATCATCCTCCATCGTCCACTTCTCCTCCTGCCCTCAACCTTTCCCACCATCAGAGTCTTTTCAAATGAGTCAGCTCTTTGCATTAGGTGGCCAAAGTATTAGAGTTTCAGCTTCAACATCAGTCCTTCCAATGAACACCCAGGACTGATCTCCTTTACGATGGACTGGTTGGATCTCCTTGCAGTCCAAGGGACTCTCAAGAGTCTTCTCCAACACCACAGTTCAAAAGCATCAATTCTTCGGCACTCAGCTTCCTTTATAGTCCAACTCTCACATCCATACATGACCACTGGAAAAACCATAGCCTTGACTAGATAGATCTTTGTTGGCAAAGTAATGTCTCTGTTTTTTAATATGCTGTCTAGGTTGGTCATAATTTTCTTTCCAAGGAGTAAGCGTCTTTTAATTTCATGGCTGCAATCACTATCTGCAGTGATTTTGGAGCCCAGAAAAGAAAAGTCAGCCACTGTTTCCACGGTTTTCCCATCTATTTGCCATGAAGTGATGGGACTGGATGCCATGATCTTAGTTTTCTGAATGTTGAGTTTTAAGTCAACTTTTTCACTCTCCTCTTTCACTTTCATCAAGGCTCTTTAGTTCTTCACTTTCTGCCAAAAGGGTGGTGTCATCTGCATATCTGAGGTTATTGATATTTCTCCTGGCAATCTTGATTCCAGCTTGTGCTTCCTCCAGCCCAGCGTTTTTCATGATATACTCTGCATATAAGTTAAATAAGCAGGGTGACAATATACAGCCTTGATGTACTCCTTTTCCTATTTGGAACCAGCCTGTTGTTCCATGTCCAATTCTAACAACCTGTCTTAAAATTATGACTTTCTGTTTTAAACTGATAACATCTTAAGTTTCACCTCTATTCTTTTATAGCTTTACCTCACACACTTTGTATTACTGATGTCACAATTTACATCTTTAAATATTGTGTACTTAGTAGTATAGATTTATGGTTATTTAAATTTTTGTCATTTAAGTTCTATGTGTGAAAATTACAATATTAGAAGTTACTGTATTTGTTCATGCATTTAGCTTTATTGAAGAGCCTTATAATTTCATACAGCTTCATGTTGCTGTCTGTCTTTTCATTTCAACTTGAAAGACTCTTTTAGCATTCCTTATGGATCAGTTCCAATGGTAATGAAACTCCTCAGCTTTTATTTATCTGGGAAGGTCTTAATTTCTTCATTTTGAAGATGCAGTATTCT